GGTCGTCGCGAAAAGTGGCCTGTTCGTGCAAGATTATCTCAGGCACGATGAAAGCTGGAGAACTCAAATGCTGTAGTTATATAGAAGTCAGCTAAGGCTGTTATGGGGACCATTCATGTTTTTGCAGCACCACCTGCAAAAAAAATTTTTCCAGAAAGTTTGAAAAATTGACCATTTTCTGCCCCTAAAAATGCACCATTTTTCGAGTAAGTGACTTTAAGGTGTTGTCGTTCTGCATAGGTGAACCAAACCTTTGATTACTGCGAATATTGTTGGAGTAATGCCTTACACATCTTTTGGACCCATCGTCCAAGCGTGAAGATTCCCGCAGATGCGACGCCAGCTGCGAAAAGAATTGTAGTCAGCGGCAAGTTTGACAGCTTATATTTTCTAAGCGCAAATCGCAAAACTCGAGTGCAGCTGCGGGTCAGAAGTTAACAGTCTTCTCGATCAGATCACCCATGATTTAGACGAATTTCTTTGGACTGCGCAAAAAAATGGCTGTAGGAATAAAAATTGTGAAATTTTTAAGGTTGGAAAGATTTTCCTTTTTAATGTGTAGATCAAATACGTGTTGGCATTGATAAAAATCAGAAGCCGTATTGAAAACTTTAGGCTTCCCTCTACTGAACAGTATTAAAAACTTGGTGTCAAGTCCGACCGGGCGCCAAAAAAATGCGTTTGAAGATGAAATTTCTAAAATGCCCCGGAAACTTTCTTTACAACCTAATAATATCACTCATCCAAAATACCGAACCCCAAACATACCAAGAAAAACGAAATAACATCAAATTTCTAAGATAGCATCTGCTTCGTGAACACTCTCATTCAGTCAGGACTGCAATGCAATATAAAATTGAAGCATATGATTCAAAACTGGAAGGGTGAATCAGATATTTGGTGCTTTCCAAACACTGGAAAGAATTCCTAAGTTTCTAAAACTTCCAAAGTTTAGAGGCGCTAGCGTACAATGTTGGGCGTAGATATGACTGAAGTTTACAGCAACAAACAGACGAAAGACAGAAAAATGATTATGATTTCATATAACAAAGAGATCGCGAATTTGCATTTCAAAGGTTCAAAAGTATTCAAAGGAGCAAAAAATGAATAACATTTTACAGGGTATCCCAAGAAGGTGTGCGTACTGTTTGATTGTTAGTAACTCTTTGTTAGTTTTTCAAGAAGCTAGATACCGTTTAGAGCTGGCTTCAACATAGGATTAAAGTATAGAGCAAATCTCGATTGCTTTTCTGCAGCAATGGTAGAAACTTCGGGCATATGGTGTCATAGTAAAAAAAAGCTGTTGTTTTGAAAATTTTTGAACAATGTGAAAACTTTTATAGCAGGTTATCAAGACGCTAAGTTCAATACTCAACTATGTACAATGCTGTGAAGTTTTAGAAAGTGTAACCGCACTTTTAAGAACATTGGAAAAAAAGGCCGCTACCGCTTACCTCGCATAACTTTAGATGAAGCATGATAATGGGTTGCAAACTTCAATTTTGAAATCAGCAATTACAATTAGCTCAGTTTGAGGATTATTAGGTTGTTTCCCTTTTAACGAGGCAAAATATGGCCTTTCAAAGCTCAAAACCTTTTACTAAATTCGTGCCATAAACCTGCAGTAATGGAGAGCATTCTCCTGGATCATACCGAACTATAGATCTGTCAAATCTATTGTCTATAAATCTATCATTCTACCCGCTCCATACCGAACTATAAATCTAAGTTGAAGCCAGCTCTATAAAATGGTACCCAAATCTTTTTGAAAAACTCTATTACAAGAGAGTTGTTAACAACCAAACACTAGGCACCACACCTTTTCGGGAACCCTGTATCTCTCAACAGCAAGGAAAAAATCAAAACGATGTGGAAAGTGAAATTAACATAAGAAGCACCCATGGGGATGAAACGCGTGGCAATCAAAGTAGAAAAAGAACAAGGACAACTATAAGAGATCTATCAGTAATGTGCTACACATGTGTATATACAATTCGAGAAAATATCACATGCAAACTGAGCAACAATTCACTGATGAAAGCAGGATGACTTTTAAAAAGACGGATTATGCTCGGTAATGTATACCATGTGACGATAAACTAGAATAGACAAAAACGCAAAATACAGCAGACAAAAAACGCAGACGACATATGAAGGCGATTCCATCCCAGTATAGGTAATGGGTTCTCTCGACCGCCATAAAGTGTAGGTATGCACACTTCAGATGGTTAGAAAAAATCACTTCAAATGAGCGCAGCCACAAACAGAAAATATACTTACCATTATTACTGCATAATAGAATACTTTGAAGTCCTTAAAAACGATAAGTTTCACACAAATTCTATGGATACACGTGTGTGGATCGTTTCCGATCACTTTCATTCAGAACTATGTGTTGCCTTTCATAAGCTTGATTGTAACTGTATTCGACTCAAAAAAAAAGAAGCTTGAAGCAGTACAAGTGACAGCATTCGATGCAATGAAAAGAGTTTCCATATCCTTTAAAGATAGCAGGACGACGAGGTTTGGATGAATCAAGCTTTGCAGCGTAAGATGGCACTAGCTACAATAAGTCCTTACCGAGGCAACTCAAAGCAACACCGAAGCGCTTATGATTCTGTCCAGTCCTCCAACTGGTTGCCCAGCAAATCATACTGACGAAGGCTTCCTCCGAACATATTATTAAGTTACGATTGAAGGTGAAAGATGTTCCGCCATTAACGTTCCTACGAATTCTTCTATTATAAACGTAGATCAGGATAAGTGCTGTACAGCACGCTAGAGCTTTCAGCCTAACTCCATAGGAGAGAGCCAAAGTGGAAATCCGACAGGTATAGTTTCTCAGGAAGAAAAATCTCGCTTAACCAACTTTCTAAATAAGTCGAACTATTGATACTTTGCGAGCCCAGAAACTTATTTTATTATATTTCTAACAAAAATGTATTTCAAAAAACTTCAGTTTTTCATATTAAATTGATTCTCTTCTCAACATCTACAACGCGCTCCCGCATGACGTCATTGTCAAGATTCATGATTACATTCTTGCAAATGATTAGATTGAAGACATTTGATTCCGATTTATCAAGGAATTTCATACACCTCTTCTCGTAACTCTTCAATGCTGGGTCGAAGAATACAGCCAAGGTACATATACAGTGACCGCCAAAAAGTTGCGGACAAGCCGCCTTCCTTTTTTCATCGCTCATTTTCGGACGGAAAACAAAGATGAAAAAGATGAATAATTAGCTGGAGTGCATGAAATGGTAGAGCTCTCCAAGAGCTGCAATCCACACATTGCGCTTTCTGGAAAATGTGTTATCTAAAAGTTTGAAAAATCTTTTTCTAAAAAAAGTCCGAAAATGGCCGCGTCACAATGTCGCGGACAATAATTCTTCGAACGCGAAAATATTGCTTTAGGTCTTTGTTTGGACAAAAACAAAAGTATTAGAACAGGTAAGCATACTATATTATAAAGCTCATCGAGGGCATCAATCAGGTAGTGGTTATTCCCCGAAAACCCAAGCTTGAATTTTATTCTACTTTTTTTCAAAAAAATAACTTCTAATTACCTTTTCGAACCAAATTTCTTTACATGGAAACCTATTCAAAACATCCTAACAAACCTTTTCAGACGAAATGGATGCTTTTTGCCATACTCTATGCGTAGGAAGTGTGCTGGTGAGTTTCTATGCTGAAAGTGGCTCTTGACGTGCGTGCACATGACCTCACCTGCACCTTACCACTGATTTGCCCCGCTTTCCGGCTTATAGCTCAACCAGCAACCATTCTACGAGCCAGAGAGTAGACTCATTCGAAAGAGAGTGAATTCCTCGACACGATGGTAACAAACGATCTGAGTCTGTGAAATATCAAAGATTTGACGGATGGGGCGAAAAAACGCAGCCTCAAAGGCGATTGGAGTGAAAGCTCTTGTCAACATCGGAACAGTCTTAAAGCCTAGAAATGGATCTATTACAAGAAAATTGACAGTTTACAACTTCTAGGATGAAACTGGTAGCGAAAGGAGTTCTGTTCAACCCTTAATCAGAAAATCCTTAGCCTACCGCTGAAGCTGCGCTTTTTCACCTCATCCGTCAAATCTTTGATATTTTTCAGACTCATCTCATTTGCTACCGTCGTGTCGAGAAAGTCACGCTCCTTCAAATGAGCCTACCCATAAGCTCGTAGAGTGACTGCTGGCCAAGCTACAAGCTGTAAAGCGGTGCGAGTCAGTGGTGAGGTGCAGATGAGGTCATGTGCGCGCATCACCGACGGCGACTTTCACTAAGGAAAGTCGTCAGCATATGTCAGTGAGTTCAATGATTGAGAAATTTCCGCTTTACAAGCAGCATTGTTAAAAGACTCAAGAGTGGATCTTATTCCACTTCCTGGGGTCAAAACTTGAATTTCATGACACATCCAGATACTACTTATAGCAGCCAAGAGACCCTCCCAGAATCTTTCCGATCTAAAAATGGACAAACTTTATACACATCTTGCTACTGACTCATACAAAGACAAACAGGCTTTATTTCACAACGAACAGGCACAAAATCAAGTCCTTTGTTAGAACGGAGAAGATCAATCAGCGCTCAATGAGATTCGACTTCGTGAGATCGTAAAAAATGACATACTGCATTCAACACTTCGTCGCATAACCTCCGGCGTCTATTAAGCCTTCACAACGATTAGGCATGAATTCCACCAGTCCCTGTAGACGCTGCACTGGAATTGATTTCCAGGCGCTACCTGCAGCGTAAAGCTTCTTCTTCCCAATCTCCCTTCGACTTCTGCCCAAAACTTTTCTGTAGGGTTCAAGTTCGGACTTGTGCTGGCCACGGAAGAGTGATAATACCATTTTCTTGAGACCATTCACTCACAACTCTCGACTTGTGTTTAGGATCATTATCTTATTGAAAGGTCTGTAACAGTGTAAAATTAGTACCAAGAAAACTATTTATCAAAAAATCCATACCCAATTAACATCGAGAAGCTCAGCTTTAAGAGTTTGCAGATGTGGATTCATGGTTTCCGCCTTCGCATTTCACGCTAGACTTGGTGTACTTTGGCTTGTATCGCTCCCTGACTGGTCTCCGTACCCACTGACGTCCGTTGCTTACCGCCATGTTGAGCTTGCTTTCATTAGACCATAGCACTCCTCTCCACTGATTCTGCCAATCGACATGCTGCCTTGCGATTTGAATCCTTCCAACATATTTAAATGAGATGAACGGCTTTGTCGCAGGACGCCTTCCGTGTAAGCCGAACTTAAAGATTGCGAACAGTAACAATGAGATAGTGCAAATCTATGCCTACCTGTTCAGTCAACGCTGTACTGTGCGGACGCTCAAATGGCTCAGCCTCAGGTTGTCACGAATTTCGGCTACGCTAATGAAGGGATCATTCGTGCACTTCCGCAAAATCATTTTATCGGTCCTGAAAACACAACCAATAAGACAATCTTCCATGCCTGACAATGAGTACCCATCTCTCATCTGTGGAGCGTTTGCGGCCCAAGGGTGCTGGCTCAGCTGGGTTTCTTGTACTTTTGTAGATGCCCCACACTCCGCTTTTTGACATCTCTAAGTGGGCAGCAATTCTTCTAAATGCCCATCCATCCTCGTCATGGAGACGCACAATCAAGTTCTTCAGCAAGGCACGATGTTCCGTACTCATCTGATAACAGTAATGATTCAAGCAGTTACAATTCTTCATGCTCTTCAAATATTCAAACTCACTAATTCTCTCAATCTCCGTTGCACCGTTTGCACCGACGCATGCGCAAGCTCAAGCTGCGAGCGCAGTTCGGCGGCATTGGTGATCTCGTCCACGGCAATGGCATTGTAAGCAGTATCGACGACAGCTCCAAAATTTGATTTCAAGTCCAGTGTGATGCGCAAGAGTGTTGATGCGAACCTTGGATCGAGCTTTCGCGGCCTCCCTCGGCGCAGCGGTTCTTTTGGGTTCTTAGCTCGTTTGTAGACGTTCCACACTTCGTTTTTCGACATTCCCACCCTTTCGGCAATTCTCCGAAGCTGCGCGATTTACGATCACGCAATAAACGATTAACGCAACCTTGCTTCGTCCAACAGGGACCATGGTAGAAGAAATGAAACACTGAAATCGTCAAATATCAAAACGAAGAACAGTTCAAGTTTCAGTGAAACAAATGACGTTGGCTCCCCAGAAATGGTAAAGAATGAGTTAACTACACAAACAGAATTTTGAGAAACAATGAAACTACCATCATATAAAATAAAGCATGAAAAGCTTGGCAAAATGTCATACACTGAAAGATCGATTTGCAAGCGTGAAATGACCTCACAAAGTGTAAAAGGAGATGAATGACAGCAAAAAAAGATATCTACAAAGCTCACCTCAAACAAGAAGTGTAGATGCAGCGCGCGCGAACATGGCTCAATTACGCTTACGTTTGGCTGAAATAGAGATACTCTGTTATTTTACAAAGGTAGTGTAGAAAACGGTGAGAGGAGAAAGATGCTGAAAGACGGGGAATCTGTGACAGCCAAAACAGAAAAAAGGAGTTGGAAGAGAAGCTGCAGAGTCAAAAATAAGCGAATTTAGACGATTTCGCAACAAGTAGTATTTCCTGATTTTCAATGCTGAGACCATACGTGCTCAATGTTGCGAAAAAACCACGTCTATCTTCTGTATCTACAATATGAGAAGTTAGCAAGGTGTGACACGTTTGTATTTGCAAAATTGAAACCACTCAGCGGGGGAAGGAGATGAATAACACCAATAAAACACCTTACCTTACACAAGAAATGTGGACTGAGCGAGCGCCAATGCTAATGTCCCGGTTACGAGTACGTTTGGCTGAAACTGAAAACTTATTCCTTTGCTAAGATATTGTAGAAAGCAACGCGAGAGAACGGTGCTGAAGAGGGAGGATATGCACCAAAACAAAAAATGAGTTAAAAGGGAAGATGCGGTGTGAAAAACAAGTGATTATCAACAATTTCGCAACAAGTGTTATTTTCTGAATGCGAGTGCCGAGAACAGCGCGCGAATTGTTGCGAAATAGCTTCGAGGCCTCTTTATCTACAACAGCTGAAGTTAGCAAGGTGTGGAAAAAATTTGAAGATGCTGGGAGAGCCTCTTTGCTGCTACAAGTAGTAACTGGAAATGTCATGAATGATTTGACCCTAGGAGATAGAATAAGATCCATATCCATTCCTGAGTCTTCTAGCAATGCTGCTTGTGAAGCGGAAATTTCCCAATCATTGGTTTCGTTGACGTGTGCTGACGAATTTCCTTAGTGAAAGTAGCCGTCGGTGATGCGCGCACATGACCTCATCTGCCCCTCACCACTGACTTACTCGCTTTGCAATTTTGTAGCTCGGCAACCGGTCATCGTACAAGCTTGCAAATAGGCTCATTTGAAAAAGCTAGACCTCCTCAATACGACGATATGCAACAGAGGTAAGTTTAGTAAGTTTCGAAAATTGGAGGATGGGTTCAAATTGGTGCAGCCTCAATGGTAGTCTTAGCCTTTTTCAGATAAGACTAAGATGACCTTCATTTGTTACAACTTTTATCCTGGGAGCTTGCAATTGACTATTTCCTTGTAATAATTCGATTGCGAAGTTCTACGACAAGTCTATCTTCGAAAAGAGCCTAAACCAATGTTACTTCAGTTATCGCTGAGGCAGCCTTTTTTCAGCCCCATTCTCAAAATCCCCAGGATTTCTTAAACCTGCCAGGTACAGGTCAATGATGAGACGCGGGTGAGGTCGTGTGCGCGCACTACCAAGAGAGCCATTTTCGGCAAAGGAACTCATCGGCACACATCCGTGCATACAGAACAAACAAGAGCAGCAATTTCATCCGTAAAGCCTGTTATTAGAATGTGCTGGATCGCCTTTTTTGTGAAGAAACGTGCTTTGATAGAGCCTATGAAAAGTATTTTTAAAAAAATGCGAGAAAATTTCAAGCTTATGTTTTTTAGAAGTAGCCATGGCCTCACCATAGTCCTTCACGTGCTCTACAAAACAGTACGCTTAGCTGCTCGAGAAACTTGTGATTTCACTTCACTGTGACTTCAGAAAAGGACTCAAAAGAAAATTTTCGCATTCGAGGAATTGTTGTCCGCGGCTTTGTGAAGCGGCGATTTTCGAGCTTTTTAGAAAAAGATTTTTGATAATCTTGGAACTCGTATTTTCCAGAAAGCAACATGCTGGAGTTGTAGAGCTTGAGGAGCTCTATCACCACGTACATTTAGTTTATTTTTCCAACCTCGTTTTCCTTTCGAAAACGAGCAATAAAAATCGGAGCTCCCCTTGTCCGCAACTTTTTGGCGGTCACTGTATAGCCATACCTGAAGGTGAGCTAAAAAAGTGAAAGTGTGAAAGATTCATATGTGCACTGCATCAAAACTGCTTATAACTCGGTCTAGATGCACTTAGCAAATACGGAAATCCGTGGATCATCCTTGGAGTCAGCATCTATGCTGCGTTGATAGTGTGCAGCTTGTCTGGATTAATCACTTCGACTTCCGACCTTCCCTTGAAACACGAATTCATAACCCTTTGCAATGCTCGCAGCTAAAGTTCGCCAGATTCTTCTACAATTCATAGTCTTGCTTTCCTTCAAAATGGAACTTTTTTTGAGTTAAGTTAGCTAGTTTTCGCCCGCCGCTGGCAAAAAAGGGGCGCTGCAAATTTAGATGATGGCTATAGATTTTACCTCGTAATTCCACATATTATTTGACAAGTAGTACTTCTGATTCTCCATGCAAGTGTATGGCTAAGGGCATACCCCACGCGATTTCAGTCGCGCCGCGATTTGGCAATACTACAATTGTGCATAACTCATCGTAAGGGGTTTCTGAATGAACGAAATATAGGGCATTTTATCAACTTGCCAAAAAAAAGAAAAATAAAAAAAATAAATAAAGAATAAAATAAAATAAATAAATAAAGCTGTCTGTTTGTTTGTGCATACGTTTCAAACTTGGCACACATACATCGGTACGGGACTGGTGTTGGACTAGGCTACTTTTCGTTATTGATCGATACCGATTTTATTAAATTTCTGCAAACTTCGATTTACGGGTCGGGAGTTCGCACAGGGGGTCAAGTGAGTGTGCTGATTACGAATGACTTCGGTGGTAAAAAGCCACTACTTTTTGATTTTTATCTATTTTTTGCAAGCTTCAGCTACTGGCCCTTACTGCGCCACAGGTCGACGTCAGGTCCACATGCGGATTGTTCTGTGCTTTTTTTAACTAGAGAACTTTTTCGCTATTTGTGCACGATTGCCTGATTGTTAGACAAACGCGCTTGAACTAGCAGGACCATGTTTTAAATGGGCTGAAGATACAGTTCCCGCTAAGTCGACGGCAAAATTTCGAAAGGCCGTTATAAGAAATCAATGTTTATAGTTCTGTCGCATTTTGCGGCGCAAATGCGACCCGGCATATCAATGATTGTTTGCGCAGCGTCCGTTTTGGACGCTACGCCTATTTGTATTATGTCTGATAAGGATAAAACAGTCTACCACTAACCACCTTCGTGCACATACGACAAGTTCTTGCTCAACAATTGGAGAGCTAGAATAATTTTGACCAAGAAAAACACAGCCTCCAAAGAAGAAGGAGAAAGATTAGTCTTTAATCCAAAATATTTGTAAAACATTTAATGTTCTAAATAAATAATTGAAAGAGTAATCTTTTTACAAAAAAAGAGGAACCCTATTTCTCCTTTGTTGCGATTAACTACTTTCGTTTGTCTCAGGCCCCGAAAATGTGCAATTTCACGCATGTTGTCCGCAGCAATATGTCAGAAGTCGTGTCTCAATAAACAACTCAGAAAAGTAATCTTTCTTTGGGTTTTATCAGTTGCACGCTATTTTGGTATTCAACTCAGAACGTGCATTGTATTAGGTTGGTGCAAAAATAATGTCCGTTCCGCAAAGTTTCAGTCTGAAATGGTGTAACTTTGTCTAGTCAGCCTTTTTTCTATGGTCAAGATTGATAGAAGCACTAAACCTCTTGTAACTTAGCGGCACCTGTTCGTACTGATATCACAAACCCAAAGAAAACCATGCGTTAAAAAACTGAAAGTTTTTTGTTTGAGAACCGAGTCTTTGAGAGATTACGACTTCCTTCAAGTTTCGTTCTGGCTAGTAATCCAGTTACTTTGTAGACGCATACAGTAGTACACGCGTGTAGAAGAAACTTCGACGAAGAAGTTTTTCCTAAAGAAAAGATATTAAAGCAAGGTTGTCCTTTTTGGAGTGTATTTGTGGTAGGCCCGAAAGTCCTAAATTAGGAAGTTTGGATTTCTTCGTGCACTGAATAGCTAAGTTTTCCTGAAGAAAACGTAGACAAGGCTTCCTAATTTTGAGCTACAGAAACAAGAGAAGCTTTGGCGATTACCTTGAACATAAGAAATTTCTGAATCATAGAATGTTACCGGCGAGAATCTATTTTGGGGCGTCAATTTCTCAGCCCAGATATTTGCGGAAAATCTACTTATGCATGCAGTAGGTAAAAAAATAGCCCCATACTGCTGTTATGTTTCCAAAAGATTTTATTCATTTGCGCCTGATTTGTGGCCACGAAAGCAGAAGCAATGAAATTTTGACTTCGAGTGCTGCTATGATGCTATTGGGTTGGCACATAAGTAATGCAACTTTTTATATAACTTTTGTCTATTTGAACGTAGCGCATTCATTTTTTGGCAATATAAGGATTATGATGTAAGCTTCTAATGCACACATTTTTGCCGAATTTTACCATCTTATGTGAGGATTACGGTAGGTTTACGATACTATGGGAAAAAGTTTAGAATGCATCAGATTTTGCTGAAACTTGGCCTTTAGGGCTTATTTGACATGCTGATCACAAAAATGAGATCCGTTTCGCATAAAAAGGCCTCGTTCGTGAGATCAAAAAATAAATTTTATTTTAGCGACAAATGAATATGATATTCGTGTTTACCGCATAGGATTACCCTATAGTGCAAAGTTATAGCGAATTCTGACTTTTCGCAGCTTAGTTATTGACAAATTGCCTTCAAAACTTGACGCATTTGACTTGTTCAACTTCCCAAAGGCGCCGCACCTTAATTTGTGTTTGAATTTCATTTCTTTTTCACTGATTCCAATGTGCCAACTTCCAGCTACATGCTGCCTATAATTGCTTTTTCATATGTTTGAATCAGGTTTCGTAGGGCTTCATGTTTGCCAAAAAATCATGAAACCTCGATTTTCAGCAGTTTTCAATAATGCTTAGATTTTTGTACTACGTTATCAAAAATCAAACGGTTTGCGCAGACTTGTAGCTTACAATCACGATCTACATGATGCCACAAAATGAGATTGCCACATAAAATAGGAAAAAAGTTACGGGAAAAGTTGCAAAACTTATGTGCCAACCTAGTAGTATAGAAGCCTAATTCCACCACTGTCTCTATGAAAAGTTATGCTTTTCGAAAAAAAAATGCCAGAATCAATTGCTGTCTTTTATGTGTGCTCGAAAATCATAAGTTTTCATAGAAATGTACAATAAGCAACTTTGCCTAGTTAGGAAAAGCAGCAAAACCTTTAACACCTACTCGTCCGGGTTTTCAATGCAAGTTCAGATTTTTTGCAATTAAAGTTAAGAAAACCAATGAAAAATTTTTCTTTTACCGCTTTTATTGATGCAGTGTGTGCTCATCATAGATCGATGCTTTATTTTATAAAGAGTATGAATTATTTTTTCGAACAGACATAAAAGCAAGCAAATTGCTTGGAGAAGTCAGATATGAATTTTTGAAATTGATGCGACAGAACTTTCGTTCCAATTCAATATTTCTTTTGTCAATGCAGACCAGTGAGGATTATGGTGCGTTTCAGGGTCTAATTTATTTCGGTTTATAAAATTAGGCAATATTGTTTTAATCATGGTTTATATGGAGCGTACGTATGCCAATACATACAAGCCCATATGAATCAAGATATTGAAAAAACATTTCAAGCTTCGTTTCACCCGTTGAGATGACGAGTTTAGTAAAGAAATCAACTCTCATTCGCGACTTTCTAATGCTAAATTGTCACTTCAGATGATTTCACTTACGCTGCGATGCGCGAAAAATGTAATGTGCTAATAAAAACAAGTAAAAGTCAACCTTTCTCCTTTTTTCCAACTTCGTATTTGAACAGAGACAGACCCACTTATCAAGCTTTGATAATCTAGCTCCTTTTTTCCATCAGGCCCTTGTCTTACTTGCAATCATTCAGCGAATGTGAAGTGATGAGCGGGTAATATCTTTGACAAAAGCTTAGTAAGCAGTCTGTCTGTCTGATAATGTGGTACGGTTCCGTCACTAGATTCCAGCCCATATATTTTGCTATACTTAGATTGCTCACTTTGTCATAGAAGCATTTCCGTCAGGAAGAAAAACTCAGAGTTTTTCGGTACCAAAGAAATTTGTGTGTAAGCAGAAAGCCATCTATTTAGAAGCCAAAAGCGTTCGGATAATCCAAATGGCTAAGGTGCCCCGGACAGACTTCACGCGATTTGATCGTCGCGACTGAATCGCGACGAGACAACTGTTACAACATCATTCCATGCCGATCAACTTGCATTTCGGTTGTGATACTTTTCCAGCCCGAACTTTTTGAATGTGAAATGAAATTGAATGGAAATGTCGGCGATTGAGTCGCGACGATCAAATCGCGTGAAGTCTGTCCGGGGCCTAACCGGACGAACTTATTAATATTGCAAAAAAAGGATTTCTGTGACTACTCAAATCTGAGCCGTCAAGGGGAAGATGAAACGTAGACACGGCTTTTTCATCAAGCATATACAGTACATAGAATGCTTTTATTGGCAAAAACACTCAAGATAAAATTTATTTTTCTCATTGATTCGAATGGCACCTTATAGGACTCTCCACCAAAACATCAATGTTTTGTTTATTAGAAGGTACCTTATATATTATAGAAATAATTGCACATTCCAAATAAATTATTCGATTTGCCAATAAACAAACCTTTTTCCTACAAAGACAAATGGGATTACAGTTGCGATCGGACTAGTTTTTGAGTACGGAAATGCGTGCAAATTTGGATGACACCTATATTAATTCTTTAGAAACACCCATGGTTTGCAGAGTGCCCGCAAAGTATACGCCAAAAGAGTGTAAAAAGCTGCGATTAAGCACTACTTGGCCTTCAAGAAAAGTGAATCTACTATGTTGGAACATAAGTCCTGCACCACAATTTTCAAGAACTCCGTATTTTCCTCCAGATTGTACAAATATGTTTGAACTAGTGTAATTTGGAAAGAAAAAAACCTTTCGTTTTTTGACTATGTTCAAAGCAAGAATTATCATTGTCATATCGCGGCTGCCGAAGCTATTGAATGCAAGCATTCGAAATGCGTATTTCCAATTTTAAATTCCAAAAATGCTGAAAGACGCGAAATTTCCAAACTTACTTTTCATTCAATTTTTATAATCATGCTTTATGACTAAATCAAATTTTTGCTGATAGGAGGTCTCTGCAAGAAGTTGTAATTCAATTTTCGACCTTATTTTCGAGTTATGATAATGCTTGAAATAAAATGTCTAATGTGTACAACAAATTACTACATAAATCAAATACAATGAAAAAAGTACTATACAAATTAGAACGCTGCTGTGAGCCATTTAACATGAATTTTTTTTGTTGGAATTAATGACTTATAATATGTTCCAACATGATAGTAAATGAAGAATAATTTATGTAGCTTCATCAAAGATGGTTGTTTTTCTGAAATTTGAGCTATGAGTTGCATCGCACAGATTTATCATCGATTCTTATTTAGTTTGTGTTTTAATTTTCTGTGGAACAATTATTTTAGAAGAGTTAGCTATTTTATAGCCATAAAATTGTGCATACTTTCTTACAATAAATTTCTAACGAAGATTCGGCAAATGTTTGTCTACCTACAGCTAATTTGAAGCAGCGAACGATTTATGTATGGGAAAAACTTTTGAAGGTGAAATATCACATTGCCAGCCATAAATTACTGCTGCTGTGTGACTATTGAACAATCGTACGTACAAGAAAAAAATCCGACCTGTTTCATTTAGTGGTGATCGAAGTATCAAGTGTTAGAAGACAGTTCCCTATCATTTTTTGCAACATTTCAGCGAATGCAACGGTAACGGAGTTATTAAAACGGTTTCTCCAAGACGACTTCGGCTACCTGAGTGCATCAGTCAGCAATGATATGGCTTGTTGCGCTGGTCGTCCTCAGCCTACTTCAGGTAGCTGATGCAAGGCTCAGGTAAGATCTTTCAAAGGTATACGTTTCATATAAAAAATTAGAATCAACTTTCCGTAACTAATCTTCTTCTTGGATCTCTTTCTACACTATCTCAAATATAGGTGTTCTACAAAGACTCAGTTATACGGGAGTCGTCTTGGCAGAAAACAGCCTCTACTTTTACCGCAACATCCTCTCGCGTCTATAGAGATGTTGCGGAGCAGTAATTTTGAAAGCAGCGTCCAAGCAAGTCTGGACACATGGGGATCTTAATGGATAGTGATTTTGGGGCCCTAATTAAGCCACTGCCCAACCGGCAACTCAGGTAGTGCTCTAGCGGCTGAGATATTCCCCTCGAAACTAGACTCCAGGATCGTATTTGGCATGGATTCATGGCCTAACGCGTGGGTCCTGGCGCGAAACTGCCATTAATCCATGCGGATACAATCCTGGGGTCTGTTTGGAGGCGTATATCTCTATCGGTTAATAAGTCACCTGCACTGCCGCTTGGGCAGTGCCCTAGTTAGGGCCTCAAAACGGCATTCCACGTAAAGTCGCCATAGGTCCAGATCTGCCTGAACGCTGCCTTTAATAGGCGAAGTAAGGTTGCGAAAAAGGAAAGGCAATTTGAAGTTGATCTAATATTTGAAGTTATTTTTAGCGAGATAAAAGAAGCGATTGTTTCAGTTTGAAAAGTACTTCGTTTATTTCGCTAAGATAACATTCCAGAATGCACAAACTTCACCTATCATGGCAGTTTAAATGAGTTAAGCTTACAACCAGGACAATAGTTGAGAGACCAGTTAAGAGTTACATGTTTTTAGTGTATCTCTGCTTTCTGCTATTTCTCAAGCATCGGAGCATTGCTTGCTAAAATGACTACTTACAAAAATTCTCAATTTTCTCAATAGAGGCATGCAAACACACCGAAAGCACCGAAAGTCAGCCTAAAATTCCCAAGGTTAGAGCAGAAGTTCCGAACCATTTCACCATTTTTTTGCACAGAATGAATCATTCTTGGTGCGTTCACCCGCTATGGGTGACTCGTCTCTTGCATACGTTGTTTGAGTGTCATATCGTGTCTAAGATTGAAGTGAGAACAGGGAAGGCTTGTTATGGTTGTGACCATTCTAAATGAGATATATATTGAAACAAATGAGAAGTTAGAGTATAATTGTCATGAAACGAAATTTCACGACAATTTTTGCATCTGTTTTTACACTATTCGGTTTCGGGGCTAAGAACTATACCGGTAGCTACCCTATGCTGCTGAAGTTGATGATAAACGCTGATCTCAAAACTGTGACCCTTATCTGCGGGACGTTCTTTTGAGTTTCGCAAGTTTTGAGCCATGCCAACTTCTCATGGTAGAATAGTGCCGCGCGAGTGTGGGATCTTCACTGCACAAAGGGTTGCATGTTCAATCTTTCGCAAGGGAGATTTTTGCATTTTTGTTTCTGAAGCCACAGCCTCTCCAAAATGTGCTTTGCACGTAAGGATTACAGAATCGAGATCAGCATTTATCACTAATTTCGGCAACATCTTTCATCTCTTGAATGACCACTTTGCTAAGGAAGCTTTCCTGTAAATTATACTATTTTTGAAGAATTTTTGGAACTAAAAGTACCATTATTTTTAGTTATCTTGAGAATGCAACATACATTAGCATCATTTTATAAGTCGTCAAGGATATCTGCTGGGTGTAGCATTGCTTTTACTGTAAAACTAACGCAACTAGTTACATTTTCATTAGAGTTGGTTGTCGGCCCCATATCATGTACCATCTCTATTCGCATCATTCGTGCATTCCACAATATCATTTTTTCTACAGAAGTGTAAGAATCTGCAAAGAATTGTTTTTACTTTTTAACAAATGCATGACCATTTTTCTGAACTTTACTCTTTTATAACCAACACAAACAATCAGCACTAGTGCAAGACCGATAGGTGGAACCAAACTTTTTTTTAGATAAAAAGTGGTGCCACTCGGTATGCTAAAAAACTATTGAGTCGCCCATTGTGATAAATGATCTTACATGCGAGAGCCCAAATGAATATACTGTATACTTTGACATTGTTTATAAATAAGCAGGTATTATCTTTATGTAATATAACTTGAGGTTAGGATTAGCTACACAGTTCCAAAGAAGATGAGACACTAGCTTTGCTGTGATAACTTGGAAGAATGACATAGTATTACTACGTTTTTCAAAAAATCAAATTACAGATTTGAGAGGCAAACGCCGCCTTGCGATCCATGTGCAGCAGCAGCAGCAGCTGCGGCGGCGGCGGCGGCAGCAGCAGCACCACCACCACCACCTCCGCCTACTGAACCACCACCACCACCACCACCTCCGCCTACTGAACCACCACCGCCACCACCTCCTCCGCCTACTGAGCCACCACCGCCGCCACCACCGGCTCCGGCTCCGGCTCCGGCTGCGGCTCCGGCCACTACAGTGTGCGTAACATGTCAGCAACAACCTCAAACGCCGACTACGATCATAAAGGAAGTTATAAGAGAACGTTATGTAATGCCTCCAAGAAGACGCTGGCGCCCTATGCCCTTTTGGTTCCCACCCCCACCACCCCCACCACCTCCACCGCCACCACCACCTCCACCACCGCCACCACCACCACCGCCGCGACGACCTCCAATAGTTAAATACAAGTTTGTGTACCACCGTCAGCAACCCTGGTACAGTTGTAACGTATGCGCGGTCAAAGTTCAATGCACTGACCCTACCGGTGTAGCTTGCGCTACAGCCACAGGTGGTTAAGCGTCTGTAATTTTTGCTTTTTTCACAATAAATTGTACTTTTGGTAGCTTTTTAGTAATTGAGTTTACGCTCACATAACGGGAGTCAAAAAGATCATGTCGAAAAGGTGGGACTTTTTGTTTTCATCGGATTACAGACAAAAAACAATTCTTGTAAATTTAGTACATATACTTTCAAACAAGAAACAAAAGAAGGACATTTTCAGTTTTCTTTTAACTGATGTCACATTGAAGTGGGAATAAATATTCAAGCCAAAACATAAAATCTAATAATAATACGGTTTCATATAGGTATATCGATGAATTGTTGACTATACATACTTTGCAAAACACACTACCTAATCAGAGAAACTTATGATGGCAAACTCTATAAAGTAGAATCTAATCTGTTTAGATAAAACCAATTGCAGTCACCTATCACCTACCAAAATGATGGTTGACAGGCTAATAGTCAATTGTTATCAATTTTGACTCTAATTTTTCTATCAGTACTGAAAAGGCATTAATACGCCAAGAAACTGGGAATAATACGTACATGTACCTTTTTTCAACCTCATCGATAAAATATTCTTGAAAACACTCTTTTAAACGGTGGTAACAATAGGAATATAATTCTAGCTAGTATATATGAATGTATGAACAAGAATACGTGTTCTTTATATGAACACAGGATGAGTATTCAAATCTTACAAGAAATATTAATGTTAGTCTTCTTGATTCTTTCATACTTTAATACAATTAGTAATTATTCACCATTAATTTAACATCTACACACTTCCCTCTGGGACTCATAGGCGGTGAAAGCACTTTTCTTCTATGAGACGGCAGTGGTAACTAAATGATCCTAGATGCCTAATGACTATCCAGCGAATGAGCCAACCTCATTACACGCTATTGAACATCGAAAAGGAACCGAGCATGCGGAGTTTCGCCAACCTGAGGCACGACAAAAACCATCTTTGTCTAAGGCCTAAGGCATACCTCACGCGATTTTAGTCGCCGCGCGACTTGGCATTACAACGACCCTCCATAGCTGGTCGTAAACGCACTTTGCTTAGGCCAGACTTGCTGCGCTTGTTACAATTCACGGAATCTACGCACCCATGCAACTGAGAACCTTGCATGCTTAATCTCTAGACATCTGGCAAATCGCCAAGTCGCGAGGATGTGGCGATTTCGTGAAATCGCGAGAAGTATGCCTTAGGCCTAAGGTCGCACGTCAGGACTCACACTGCTTTCAGCGGTTGTTTTGCCGCGCACACCAAGCTCAGATTCTGTGACTCACAAACCTCTCCGTTGCTGAAATGGCACGACGGTGAATAGACAAAAAGGGTCCACACTGTATGGACTCTTTTTGCAGCATTACACAGAGTTAGCTTCCGTTAGCTAACGTGCAAACTTTGACTCATGACCCGCATCCGACATGTGACCCTAATTGGACTCTACTTACTTTCTTTCTTTCACCTCTCATCGCCATTAGTGAGAATAAAGCAAAAGCCTCTCTCAGGTAATTTGCAGAATTAAGGAGATTTAGATGTTGATTACACCACGATGAGCTGTCCAAAATCGAAACAAATGATCCAAAGAAAATGGATTTTGGCGTTGAAGCCATCCCACCAGATAAAAAAAAAGAATAAAAGGAAGATGCAAATTTAACGCTAGAGTTGACTTGGATAAGCCACTGTCTTCCGTTAAAAACTTCCAACTAACCGAATAAAAACTATTTGAAAAATTATCTGCAATTAAATGCCTGATTTATAGAGTCACAAAATCAGTTTTGTGTTTAAGAGACGGTGATTGCAACTGGAGTCATCATTCCTTATTGAGGAGTTTTGATGATGGCATAGAAACAACGCTACATTCCTACTAAGGAAATAGAACAAATTGTTTCAAAACTTAAGTATTATAAGCATAAACATTATCTAGTACTTATTAGGTCGTCTCAAAAGTATTTTCGTCTTTTTTTAAGCAAGCGACACAGTCCGCAGGGCAAAGGTTTACAGAAGCTCTCTTGGTAGGATCCAATGCAGTTTTTCATGCTGTTTTAGAAGGTCACCTTTATATCGCATTTGTAGCAAAGAGTTCCTAGAAAATCACTATAAGCTGCGATCCATGCTTTTTACCAAGGTCAGGTTCCGCTATTTTTCTGAATTTGTACTGATTCCCAGAAGAAAACAGGTAACTTGTAGATAGAGCAAACCTGGTAGGACACAAAACAGTCTCGTTCTCATTCACAGAGCTCTCCATGATTCTTGACAGAATTTTAAACAGCCGTCAAATTTTAGCAGACTCATATCAGACGCAGGCTCGTCAAACTTCAATAAATTGCCGATTTTTGATGCTTACAAAAAGTTGGATTCAGCACTAATTTTACAAAGTAAATAAGCGGTCCAAGTTCGAGATATCAAATTTTGAATTTCCCGGGTACAGCTTGGTGTGCCTTCAAAAACATGAGTTTTGTAGAGTTTAACAAAGAACATGTTATTGAAATAGGAGAAAGTGATGCATCAAATATGTAGCACCCGAGCTGTTTGACGGCTGATGTTCTATGAGGTTTTAGTTGACTAAATATGAAATTTGATAGCATCAAAAAAATAATTTTGCAAATTTTGCAAAGCAGGGGAAGGGACGAAATTTATTTGCATACCACCAAGTTTACTCTATCTATAAGTTACTCGGTTTTCTTTTAGAAATCAGTACAAATTTAGAAAATAGCGGAACTTAACCTTGGTAAAAAACATGGATCGCAGTTTACAGTGACTTTCTGAAAACTCGTTGCTAGAACTGCAATATAAAGATGACCTTTCGAAAGAGCATGAAAAACTGCATTGAATCCTACTAGGAGTTTCTGTAGACCTTTGCTCTGCAAACAAAGCAAAAATATCAAAAATACTTTCGGGACGACCTAATATCATCATCGTCCCAAACTGTGAAGGGCTGCCTACCATAGTGATATACTGCTTTCTGTAACTCAACGCAAATTGCGTGATATATCACGTCGTCAAATCTTAAGATTCGGTTACAGCAGAAACACAAATCCGGCACGAGTTCGTATTCTTCAAAGGTCAGCGAATAACTGATAGGAAATTTGTAAGAAAAACTTCATATTCCATTGACGTTGGATAGACATAGATATGGATATAATTCATTTTAACTTCAATTCAAGCTTTAAGAACTAATGCATTTAGTAATTGTCATTCTTCAGTTCCCCTTTAGGGTTTTCCAAAGCCAAATTAGCGAGACGTTGGGAAGTATTTAGTTCTCAATTTTGCAATAAAAATGCTTCTGCATTATAAAAACTACAACTCGGAGAATTGTCGGAGTAAGCGGCCATGCGGTTTTGGGCAAATGAAAAAATAAACTGCTGGTTTTTTGCGGTCCGCTTGCAGATATTTGAAAGATTATTAGACGCCTTTTGGGCGAACGCTCAGAAAAAAACAATCGTCGCTTTTTCATGGATTAGTTGCTGCAGTAACCGCATTCTCGCGAAATTTTTGCGAGAATACGCAGAATTTTTGAAATCCGCGCGGTCCTTTATGAAGGACCGCGCAGCTCGTGGGTACCTCCCACAGAAGAGTATCCCAGATCCAGGTAATCAATCAAAGATGACTTTTCTGCCACAAAAATTGCTATCTTCGCTCGAAACTGTGTAACAAGAGTTAGAAGAGTTAGAGCTCTCGATGAAGGTTTGGCCAGCGAGCTGAACGAAATTATTTGACGAACGCTCGCAAAAAAGCGGTGTTGCTGCCCGCTGGCAGAACATGCGACAGTGAAGGAGGTACCGCTCACTGGAACTTTGGTCACGCCCCGAAAATTTGGCTGACCGCACAAATGGCACAACATTTGATGTCAGCCCAAAAAATGCAAATGAGCACTGGTACCCAAAAGACAAATAATTTGAAAATACTGGAAGATGATACGTTTGCTCGTTAACTGTTTTCATAAGTATAGCGGATGGCCACCATAAATAAGCATACCCCAGTGCGAGGTGACGGCTGAAATTGGGAAAAACGAGCGTACTCAAAGTAACTAAGGTAATTTTTTTTGACGAGCGAAGTCAGTGCCATGCATTGAATTCTTGGAGCTGGTGGCTCCTAGTGACTCTTTTGATATCTTACTGAAATAATAATCCGTTTCGAAAGTCGGATTCACTTGCTACAGGTTAAACAAAGGGCATATCATGGTGATTTTTCGAAAGAACGAATTGAATGATTTTCAAAAACCAGGTATTTGAGTAAGCGAATATTGAACAAGTTCATAAACATATATTTTGATATACGACTTACACAGAAAAGCCAATTTACCCCATCATCAGCATCCTCACTCCCCCCTGTAGCGACAGGAAGATTGGAAGACTTGTTATGAGCTATCTTAAGATGATGCGCGTAAAGACAGTGGCAATATCTTCTCGAATCTCGCTGTGGTTTCCATAAGAAAGAGGTACGGAAGAAAATGAGAACGCAATTCTGATCACGTTAAACTGAAAATTCTAGCAAGAATTTGAGAATCGATTGTTGCTAAAACGGGATGGTGCTATTGTCTGAAGCCCCAAGAGGCGGTGCAATTACTTCACAGTGTCAAACTATTGACGTGGAAAATTGCTGAAAAACTTAAAGTATGAATGTGCGAAATTTCAACTCTCAGCGCGACTTTCAACTGTCAGAGGACTCATAGGAGAAGCTCACAATGATACTTAACATTTTGATACACTGTACGATGGTAAGCATCAGAAATCAAGGGTCCATTAACTATACTGAAGATGAAAAGGGGTGTTGTGACCAAAGCCTAATACTTTGAACGGTCTAGTCGTTAGAGTTTTATCCCTTCTTCTAAACTCAAAAAAAACACCAGTCAACTTATATCACTGAGCAAACCTCGCATTTTACAGAATTGAAGGAAAGGGCCGCACATTTGCCATCTGGACTACTGCGAGTTTCACAACTCAGCAGTTGGCTGTACACCAAACTCGAAACGAAATCCAATCAAACACTCGAGTGAACA